TTCCATCAACGATAATAGTCCTGGCAATAATTTAAATGGTGATAAATGGTTATAAAGACGTACCTAATCACACCTGCAGAGATGTGGCCAAGCACAATAAGTGTTTTTTCTTAGGCTAGGGTTAAATTCAACGTTACATTTATAAAAATTTATATACTGTAGTCCAGTTACAACAGTGAATTTTGGTAAATGTAAGTAAAGGTAGAAGTTTTTATTCAAAAATTCAAATCAAAAATTCAGATTGAGCACAAAAAGATCGTAAACTTTGTTAAAACGTCCAAATCCTTCTCAAGAAACAATTTCCGACAACTGAATCATTGCCTATAAGACGTACATCATCCACATGAAAAATGACAAGAAGTCTGGTGGCGCTGGTATTCCACGAGGGCGAAAAGAATATTTTAAAAAAAATTCTTTTTTTGGAAAATGGATATAAACTTTGCATAGGCGTCATACCTTCGTATAGTATATTAGCCAGTTGTAATCGGAGAATGAACAAAAAATATATTTCGAAAAATAAAAAAATAATAAGATGAAAATAATATTTGCTACTTCGTGGCAAGCTCAACACCGATGGTGCTTCTGCTGTCCAGGTTAAATTCATTCCAGGCGTATCTGGAGAGCAGGTTGGTCTTGCCAACAGTCGAATCTCCTATCACTACAACTGAGTGTATGAGTGAGTGCATTAGTAAGAAGAAATGAGTAAATAAATGAGTGAATTGATGAGTGAGTGAATGAATGTAGAGATGGATGAACTAGTATAGGAATGAATGGTCTATATAACAAGCAAATTTTTTAGTATTACAACTAAAATGAATAGATGAATGATTGAATGAATGAAGGAGAGAGTGAAAAAATGGGCAATTGAGTGAGTGAACGAAGGAATAGATAAATAAACAAACGAAAGATGGCTGATGCATGTAATTCCTGCCGTTATGAATTGTGAATGAATGAATAATGATTGATTGATCGGATGAACGAACGAATAAATGAATGAATGAATGAGTAAATGAATGAACGAACGAATGAACGATTGCAGGAATATTTACTCTTAAATAAGTAATCAAACGGATCCGTATCCTCTCTACCAGACATGAGGTATTATATTTAAAATTTTACTACTATAAGTTAAATTTGTTTAATGAAAACAAACATTTAAATACAAAAGAATAACAATTTAAACAAATTAACGATAATTTTTATTTAAAAAAAAAAACAAATTTATACAAATTATATAAAATAAATTAAGTTAAAATTCTATTTATTATAACAAAATTAATGTTAGCTATGATAATAATATTAAAATTGATACACATACACATAGCATGAGCGGATTTGTCAACATAAGCACTTGAATCTAATGTTATATATATATATATATATATATATATATATATATATATATACGAAGATAAAAAAAACACACACACATACACACACATGTGTATGTTCTCTATATAGAAAGAGAGAGAGAGAGAGAGAGAGAGAGAGAGAGAGAGAGAGAACTCTTAAATGAACTCAACATTGAATTGAAATTTTCGACTTACTAATCATGAAACAGCTATACCCGTGTAACTTTTTTATGACCAAATTTTACACAGAATCACTCGCACGATAGTTAGCATTTGACGACTGATAAATGCAATGCTGTATATTTAGCTATTTAAATTGCAGTAAGTATTGTTTATAATTAATATTAAATTTTATTTATTTATTGCTTTTATTTTTGCTGTTATTATTATTATTATTGTCATTATTATTATTATTGTTAAATTATCCATTACTTTAATCTTTTAACTATTATAATAATTGATCATTTTATATTTAATTGAAATTTTCATTTATATTTTGGCTTTTGAAGAAATAAAAGAGTTCCCATTATTGTCATAATCTAAAACCAATGTTTAAGAAAAAGATACAATGACTAAGATGTCGAATGGTGACACGAAATGACAGTCAGTTATTTATTACGGGTAATAAATACACACACACACACATACACACACACACACAGAGAAAAATATTACCATCCAGAGAATTTTAACAAATTATTCTCTCTTTTAACAATAGCAAACCTTTTCTCCATTAAAATTATAAATTTTGTTCATAAATTATGTTAATGTTGTGAAGACATCTTTTATTATTTCACCCAATGAATAAACCCCATTTAAAAGTGGACACATCCGAACTTTCTCAAACCTCTAACGAGCATTGTTATCGCAGTGACCGGATTCTAATGCAAACAAAGCCACACCTCTCACATAAAATTACATGCACTGTGTATGTGTTGTTGATGTCTGCTGTGTGTGTGTCGCACATAACAATTTGTCATATCATAATACAGGTAAGTTTAAGTTGAAATTTAAGTAACTTCTCAAAAGAAGTTCCGACGTAATCTTCTGACTTGTGTTGAATGGTACAAATCAAAACAATGACAAACTGTTGGATAGCTGAAAATATCGAATGAGACACGACACACCACACCACACGAATACGTACTGATCAATTTGACAAACATAGCCAGTTTTACATCGTATGTACAACTGGGTTGCAACTGAATGCAATGTACGCGTGTGTGTTTGTGTGTGTGTGTGTACACACACACT